GGATATTGCTCGAACTTCTGGATGTCACATAAAATAACATTAGGATTCCGTCACCCTCATATCAGGAAGTTCGACATCCTCCATTCGGGTGTGGCCAAGTTGTCTTTGGGAACTAAAGCAGATGGTGATATTAATCATTCTCTCGCCCAAGTTGGAAGCTGAAATAACAGTCCTGTAGAACGATTCTTCCTGATTACAGAGAGAGGTTCTGTCAACGCTTTATAACCACTAACTCGCGAACAAACCCTCTCAAGAGTGCCATCGGTTACAACGGAAGCAGTAGACTACAAGTTCTAGTGGTCATCCAGCTGTAGACACCGGCTTCAAAAAGATCTCTACTGGTTGCTAGCATCGTCACTGACATTAGTGTCTTACTGTAAGGTTCTTGAGAAAAAATGAAAGTGTACGGAAGAACGCCATCCGAACGGTCTCAAAACTCTTCTACGTTCGAACGTCAAATGGAATGACAGGTTTTCGCGTCAAGGAGAAAGCTACTGTTCTACGGTTATGAGATCATCTCATTTTCCTGAAGTCGACACTGAGGCGAGAAAAACACTAGGAGTGTTCTAAAAAATAATTCAAAAAGAAAACGGGAATTTCTTTGCAACCTTTTGGACAAACGAATCCTACATATACTTCAATGTTTCATTTTTTCGAAGGACGATGTTTCAAGCTATCAGCGAAGCTCATCGTATAATGTTATATTTAATCATCACGCGCGGTGACTGGTCAATTAGTTAATTAACTTGGTAATAATAAAAACCTACTGTCAATCTGCCATTCTTGCGATATAAACGAAAATAATTAAATTAAATAATTAAAAATCAATTATGTTTTGAATCTTAACGTAATTAATAACTAATCACTTTTCAGATTAATGCATGACAGTTGAAAACTCTGACAATGTTAGAACGGATTTGCATACTTATAAAAACAAATCTGCATTACTTTAACTTTTCAGGACGACTTCAAGAACAGTATCCTTCTGGTGCGGCAGCAAAACGATTTGCCTGGTTCATGCCTTGCAAATAAAGATGATTTAAAATGCTGCTGATACGGCTGCCGCTGCTACTGATAATTTCATCATCGGCCGTTGCGGAATTCGAATGTAAGGATATGGTTGTATAATCTAATATAAGATGGCCATGCCATTCTGTTACTATAAGAAATCAGAAATATGTTTTCTTTTTAGTGATCAAATTTAAATCAAACCGGTTATCAGACGCTGTTCACAACGCTTTAGACCGATCTCGGGTTATAATCATTGAGCAGGGGCGAAGACAGGGGGCCATGACCGACAAAAACATGACAATGACACAGTAATTAGCAAATTTGTTGGAAAGATGGTATGACAGTGTCCACCTACCTCTCCGAAGGGAGAGCAGCATATGACGTTGTTACTGTAACTACCAGAAATCAGCAACATACGGCGTATTAATAACGATAAGACCTCAGATCTCCTTCAAAGCGATTTGTGATCAATGGCCAATGCCATAGTTGTAGTATTAGGAGATCCTACAAAGCAAAAGGATGAATATGGTAGATTAGTCAGTACACGCTTGTTGTACTATAATGCTAGTTTGTAATAGAGGAAAAACAAAATTTCGATCACTGTAATGTTAAGAGGCATAGGGACTGACAAACAGCCGGTTCTCTCTGGTCGTAACGCTAGTAACAGCTCACAGCCGTAAAAAATGAACAAGTGTTGTAGGGTACAGCCGGTGGTGCTCGCCAGGTTGGACTGCTCATGAGAAACACTGCTACCTTGCGGTCAACTATCGTCTAAGTGGCAGAACCACTTCCAGTGATAACCCCTGCGCAGAGATCAATGTACGGAAACTGGGTCCAAGAACGTGCTTTGAACTAACGATGCTGCTGGAAGCCCTAAGGAGAAACGGCTTATTCGAAAAGGTCTGTCGGCCGGAAACTGAACTCACTAAATGAACGTTGCCTGTTTTCAACTGATGCTCGTTGCAGACGCCCTCGCTGACTGATTTCCGACAAATAGACCTTTGGCACCAACTCTGCGGCTGGCAGAACAATCGAGGAACAGCTGGCAACAGCATGGCAAAAACCGAAATCGATGTCATGTATACGGTGTGCGAAATCGACCTCACGAATCCGTACGATAGGGTCTACACCTTATATCGCGGTAAGTGTGGCAAAACATTCTGTGAGTGTTCAAGAGGTCAATGGAATAACTGCGAAGATGTCATGGGTCGATGAGAAAGAATTAAAAGATAACGTGGCCTAGCAGGCGCTGGTCGTAAACGGTTACGTTATGGATGAGTTGATTTGCAAGTTGACTAAACTTTGGTTCAACGACGTTTTAATACCTAAGAGAACTGAGAAGAATAGTACGCGTTTTCTGAAAGACAAGGAAAACCAACAATGAATAATGAGTTGGCATGCAGGGGCTGAAGGTAAGGACAAGCATCACAAAAACATCGCTGCTCAATAATAAGCCCAGGCATAACGTAAAGGGACCTAGTCAATTTACTATCGAGCAAACTTCTAGTTGTCGCAGAGTAGTTTTAATTGTTTTAAGTTTCACAGTTGTTTTTAACAGCGAAACCTTTAGTTCGTTCCATATTATATGACGTACTGTTGCATATGATTTTAAAATCAAATTCATTAACAATTTTTCTTTCTTTTCGAACATTTAGTGTTTATTGTGCGGCATGTTTTATCATTTGTTATGAGCTGTTTTACTTTTAGATATAACGAAGTGGCACCAAGCGCCTAAACTTGTTCGTCAACCTGATGACCAGATTCATTTTGGGGGTGAAAACACGGGGTGGACGCAATTTTCTTGTCGCGCGAAAGGACGCCCTGCTCCAACTTATGCGTGGTTTAGGGATTCAATCGGCAAAGAGGTTTAAAGCATAAAAGTTACATTAAAATTGCCTATATATAATTTAATCAAAAACTTATTCACAATAAAGTTAAACTTTATGTTAGTCATTCATTGAACGCAAATCTAAGTCAATCCTGAACTCAAAAAAGTATAAATTAGTTTGAAATGCGCCATCCTTTCCTTGAGAAAAAACTAAATACACTAATTTAAACTTGATGTTTTTTAACACACATCTCACTATAGGCTTACAGGATGATCGGTTGATATCGATGTTTCAAGCCCGTATCTCGTAAGTCTTCTCAAAAATTATGTGATTGATTGGTTGTCATCGCCACTGTGGTCAGCAGCAGCTCATGTCTGAAACCTGAAGACGAAACAATTGATCAGTTGACCAGTATCCTATCGAAAAATGCAACAAAATTCATCCAGTTCGCGTACACTTCATGTCAGGGCTGACACTGTGGCAAGATTGGGTGATGCCTTTCATGCCTTGTTGAAACACTCGTTCTGGAGTTTCTTCTATCACGATACCGGTCACACCGAGAGGATGGGGATGTCCTTTTTGCATCGTGTGCTGCTTTGGCGAGGGGTTAGAATCCCGATGGATCACTCGTCTTATAATCCTGTTGACGTCGGTAAACGAGCATCAGAATAAGCTAGATGTGCTTACCGAGGTGTAGAATGCAGGCATTCAGGAACTCACGACTGCGAGGTCCGGGAAGACTACGAAAGATTTCATTACCTATCACATCTAAATGACAATGAAATGTCTTGTAGTTTGTTTGCGTCGATTTGCTGATTGCTACTCCTACTTGTTCAGTACTCTTCGTGATGGAAGAATGAGAGGCATAAAACTAAGCTGGTTCGTTTCAAGCGATATATCACAGCAAAACGGGTAACTGGTGCCTTTCTCTGCTTTCTTTCTCTGCTTGGAAGCTGATATTCAGGAAATCCCAGGCAATTAAACTCAGGGAGAGAATTAAGCTCTTGCTGGTGCAGTCGCAAGGCATATCTCATCATTATAAACTAAACGTTTAGTGGTGATTGAAACTGTTAGCCAATAGCTAGCCTAGTGCCGATGAAAGTTATTTTGATAGATTATACTCGTGGTATTTACGCCACGATGCTAATCATCCTATGGATGTCGTAAATTAGTGTTCTCTGTTCTCTGAGGTGCTTTTCCAATAGATATCGCAAAGTTCAGCAGCTGCTTTTCGAAAGGCCCCAATGTAGCCCTGTCTTCATAGAGAAGTGCACCCAGTTTATGCATCCAAAAGATGATCATCATTGTGGCATGAATTCCAAGAGTAAAAAGACCAAAACAATTATCATCAAGGAACTGCAACATCAAACGACATTTAATTATCCATCATTTAATTATTACCCAATCACACAACAAAATACTTCATTTCTCAGATCGATCCTCTTCAAGAAGAAAACGTGATCAAAATAGGAGGTGAACTATTGCTTACTAATCTCTCAAGCAAGGACTACGGCACATACTACTGCATGGCTCAAAATGCCTACGGATCAATCATCAGTGCCAGAAGTCAATTAATCGAAGCCTGTAAGCTACGACCGCTTGTATGACTACATTTAAATACCATTATTGTTACAGTTATCGAGCCGTTCGCTACAAGTCGTCTGGACGTTTACGCAATCGAGAACATGGGCAAAGCGGTCGCCTGTCAATCGCCCAGTTATTTTCCGTGTAAGCGATGAACCTGTCAATTTTGCTCCTTATTGACTTACGTTTCAGCGGATGTCCAATACGCTTGGAAGCGAGGAGTGCCGGATCATTTTCTGCAGGAATCGCAACGAATATTCTTTGGGCGAGACGGTACCCTTTACTTTTCGCATTTCCTTAGGGACGATGAGGATTACTACTCATGCAACCTGATCATGCCTCTAATGCAGACCGGCCGTTACGGGCCACCTTTCAGACTGAGAGCCAAAAGATCGTTCGGTAATGAGTGATGACGTTAACGTTTTATCCGAGACACTGAAAGTACACACTTGTTTGCCTTTCCAGAAACAACGGCCTTCTTCAAGCCGGTTATTCCGCCAGAAATGCCTCACATTTGGCCTCAGAACCCGACCTTCCATGGACAAGCGATCCTCGAGTGCTTTGCTTTTGGCAGGTAGCTGTTTTTTTAGCATTCCAATTATAATTAGAGTGGGACGTTCGTTTGTTTTTGACCGTCTC